GTTCTATCCAGACTGCTCACATCCACATTCAAACCTCCCCTAAACCATGTAAAAGTACTTCCCGAAATTAAAATATATATCAAATATCATCTTGAAATGAAGTCTTCAAAAATTCTCATTGCAGCCGAATGATCATGAACCCTACTCTTTCTGATTCCACTCTGACTATGTTGAAATCTCCACCCACAATAATAGGAATATTCAAGTTTACAATGACATCATTAAGTTGATCAAAAAATTCCAATCTTTCACCTTGAGCATTCGGGCCATACACATTAATTAAACTTATCTCCATATTATTCTGCACTAGCAAATATTTTAAAGCCACTTGGTAAATCAGACCCAGTTACAAACACCCAGGTCGGGTTAGCCCAAGACCCAAACCCAGTTAGGGTTTCCCACATCTTCTCTAGCTGCACTAGCTTAGCCGTTGGATCTTGCCTTGATCCAACGGTCCAAATAAGAATATGAAACCCTAGGGTTTCATCATAACCCTAGGGCTACGCCAGCCGCCGCCTCCAGTGCCAGATGTTCCTCTCAACCACTGCCACGTAAGCTACCTTCGTTGAAGACCACAGGCCAGATCCAGAAGATCTGGTGCATTAAATATACCCACCTATAAATCGACGCCGCCCCTAGTCATCGCCATAGACCGATGACTCAGAAGGAGCCCATGTAACCCCTTCAGACCGATAAGGGTAACCTGATCTGATCTAGAGTGTCACATTAGGGCCACCGAAGCGACCCAATGTAAAAATAACGAAAAATTTAAAACTTTTAATAAAACATGTACTTATAAAATGATTTATCAGTATACAGAACTAAAACAGATTTTCAGACTCGTATATAAAATAAAATACAATTACATGCCCCCTAATCACATGTACCATACTCTGAAAACAACACCGGAAGAACTCCCTTACTGAAGTCGATAGATGTACTAGTACAATTCTTTTAACCTAAAAAGATGAGTAACAGAGTGAGCTTTGGAAAACTCAGTAATACAGAACTACCAGATGATGCATAAGAACGTGCATATACAAATAAACATATTTTTCCTTATTGGTTCAAATATTTACAGATTTCTTTGGCTGAGCTGAGGTCCCATTGATATTTCAGGTAGTAACAGATAATATTTAGTTCAGATGGAAATATTTCAGATATCTAGGTTCAGAAAATCAGAATAGGTTATCTAGTGTGTTCCCGTAAAACCAGTGAAAAGATACAGATCTTTTAAAACATATATATATATACCCCCATCCTTTCACAATCTGTTTGTGTAGGTTCCCCAGAACCATACACCCAACCCACACAACCTGTAAGGCCCTGAGCACAAAGCCGAGGAACCTGCAAAAATACTTCATTCAACAATACCCCCAATTAAAACATGTTTCGTCAGTAAATGGAGATATCAGAAATCAAAACAGAATTCAAAATAGATATCATAACAGAATCCAGATCATAAATCAAAACGGAATTCAGGTCATGTATCAGAACAGAATTCAAGTCGGAAATCAGATAAAATATTTATATGATTAGGGATAATTCTATGCACATCTGTCCTCCAATTCTTATAATAGTCATCTGAGCCATATTCAGATACCGAGTTTTTACTATATTCGAATCAAGTGTACAACTTCATTAATTACACATATTAGACCAAACATTTCCATTTATGCATTTACCAATATTCACATGTTTCATAAAGCATAAAGAGGTAGTAAAGTATTACCTCAATTTTTGTGTAATACTGATCGACCATTAAATTCCATTCGAACGCCCTCGATCTTGAAATCATCTTCCAATATTTCCTCGGATTCATATCAATAGAAATTACATAAAAAAATGGAGCTTAATTCTGAAAACGGATCGACTCGGATGATAAATCAGTGAAAAACAGGTTACCAAGTTCGAATTTGGTGAAACGGACTTCGGATTCAGATTCAGGACGTCGAAAACATAAAATATGACTTTTCAAAAATTTTGAATTTTGAGTCAAAGTCAACGGTTTTGACTGGCAATTTCGAGTCCTTCGGGTCTGAATTTCGAAAAATGGACTGCGGAATCAGACTTGTAACATCGAAAAACGTCAGGATAGGTATACTTGGTCAAAGTCAAAGGTCGTTTAATATCCGATCAAAGCTAGTCAAAGTTTTGGTCAATTGTGGTCAACGCCTGTTAACGGTCAACAGTCGACTATTTTACACAAATATCACTCTAACAGAAATTAATTACAAAATTAGCCATATTCTGTAAATATTTACGAAACTAACACCCAAATTTTACACAAATAGCACCCAAACATAAATTAATTACAAAATTAACACCCAGACGATGCCCACTCTCAGGCGGTGACGCATGCGGCGCTTGAACAGTAACACGGTGTCGGAAAATTCCCAGAAAAATTCTTAAAAATTATTTTAAGCGATTTTGAGGCAGTTACAAAGCTCGGTTTGAACAGTAGAGAGCTCGATTTCGAAACGTCGAAAACTTTGACGGTCTCACTCCTCCACGCGCAGGCGACAACGGAGAACATCGGTGGACTCGGAATGATGCAAGGAACACGATGGTACGGGAGGTGTCGTAAACGGATGATCGGATCATCGTGAATCGACGAAAAACGAACTGAAATTGAGTTATTACCGACGATACTTCCGACTGAAATTATCGACGAACGGTGATGATTCACGATGAAAGGTTTGAGGGGTTTTGTTCCTCGGTCGATAACGAACACGATGGTGGTTTCAGTTCGTCGATCGGAGGTCAGACGGTGAGTAGATCAGAGTTGAAATGAGGGTTGTTGGAAAGGGAAAACTGGGAAAATAATCTGGAACTGCGCACGAGGAAGGGGTTTATATTTTCTCCTAAAGAAAAATGGTCAAATCATGAGTTTAGCCACTGAATTTCTTGCACTTCTTAAAATGGTCTGCCAACTTTGAAAATTTTCAATTTAATCCTTAATTTCTTCCAAAATACCAATTAAATCCAATACTTTAAAATTTATAAATTTTAGCCCCTAAATTGGGGTGTTACAACCCATCCCTCTGACCGATCCGAGAGATGCACCACGGGGCTTATAAAACCCCCTCACCTACAAACATACAACACAACAAGAACAAAGAGAAAAAAAACAAACACGGAGAGCAACAAGAGAGAGAGAGAAAAAAACAGAGCCAACAACAACCACTAAACAGAAAAACGAGATCGAGGAAAGAATAACTTACCCACGTTCGTCGGAGTCTTCAAACAATCTCCGGAGCACTTGTTTTTCGAAGGTAAAAATGTAGATCTAAGACAAACGACGAGTTTTTAGGATGAGAGGGGTTCATATTCGGGAAAAATGAAGGTCGAGGTTCGATTTCGTGTAATTTTTTGAACTCTGGCCACCATGGACGGTGGTCGTTGGCGTCGATGTACGATGGCCGGCCTGGTGGCCGGTTTCCCTCCAGTGAGGGATTTTAGAGAGAGGCGAGAGAAAAATAATTCTCTCTTTTTAGAGAGAGAGTGAAAGAGAAAAAAATGAGGTTAACTTATTGTTTTGGGTCGATTTGGGGTATAAATACCTCTCCCCAAACGACATCGTTTTAGGGAGGAGTTTCTGCATATTTAGTGTGTATATATATAGTGAATATCTTTTCATTTTCTACTATTAATCTCAACCATCTACTTTCACTCATCCAAGGATCCTAAATATGTGTAAAACTAAAAGAGTTTTACATTATGTAACATGATCATATATATATTCATTCATTTATTTATACTTTTCATGAAATCTATGTTTATAGTGAAATCTTTATTTTTTTTTTAATCCATAGAAGTATACCATGTTGAAAATAATAGAACTACCATAAAACAAACATTAGCACTAGCTGAAAAGTAAATCAAACATAAATAGATCAAATTAAAGTTGTGTCATGAAATAATCGTTATCTTATAAGTAAAATCGTCCTAATTGGTGTTATCATAAAGTGGATATAATCCCTAAAGTTATTACAACTCTTCAATATTTGTACATCTAAATATTGAGGTGAAAATCAATTGGTAATGCTCTTCTTGAAAAGATGAAATTGAGGACGAAAATATTTTTTCCGGTTATAATTAGACGGACAAAAAATAATATTTCAAAAAAAAAGATTTTTTTTAAGAGATAAGGAGAGATAAGAGAGAATTTGTTCTTATTGTTGTGTCTTATAGAAGTTAAAAACTTTTATTTATGAGTTCAAATACATGGCAAAAAGGATAAAAAGTTAATAACGATTACAAAAAATAATTAAGTGTCACAAATATTATTTTATTGATCCTATTTTTTTAATATTTTGCGATGATTAGTAACGGTAAAATATAAATTATGATAAAATATTTTACTGATAGGATTGTCCAAAAGAAACATATATGAATCAGATCAAGCTGAATAATTCTTACCAAATTTAAGAATTTTTACATTATCAACCGATAAAATTGAACCAAGCTAAATCTCATCTCTTAAATATATCTTATTTCATATTTGCGTCGTGTTATTTATTTATTTATCATTCATAAAATTCTAACAATAAATCTTACCTCCACAAAACAAAACATGATAACTGTGGACGATAGTGATTTTGAAGTCTTCGTTTTATTGCAATCCTTTTAAGTTTGTTTTATCTAACTATTGTAAATGTTTTACATACATGAGGAAATAATTCTGCATCTCTAGTAATTTATAAACAAAATTTTAATCCGATTCATTTAATAAATTTATTGTTTAAATCATAACGCTACAAAATAACCTTTTTTATTTTCAAGCTACAACCAATATATATAAAAAACTAATTGTAAATCAAAATAATAATATGTATAATTATTGAATTTTACACAATTTAAAAATTATGGCATCCTTTCCTTTTATGCAAAGATTACATAATATATATGCAACAAATGAATGACATGATATATATATATATAATATCCTGTACAACACAATATATGACTTTTCAAACCAAAGCAAGTGAAAAGAGAGAATTAAAGATTACTTGAACAAGTTACCCTCTCCTTGTTCACATCAAACGAACAACAGTTCCTTGTTAAGCAGTTCTTCGATCATTTGCAGTGCAACTCTTTCTTCTTCATCCATGTCTGTTCTGGGTTCAGCCCCTGAGGTATTGGAAGGGGGTGGCACAGCAGCATTTCCTTTTCCAAGCTCAACAGTCATCACCCAATTGGAACCCGAGCTCTGGCCTGCCCTTTTTTGCCACACTCCTATGTGCGAATTCTCGGTGTCGAGCCTCAGACAAGTCATGGAAGGAGATGGTGTCTTGCTGCATTTTCTGAGCTTGGCATGTAGGAACTCCGACAGCTCATTGGGTGGTGTTGAATGTGTGTTTTCTGTGCCTTTTGGGTGATCTCCTCCACTTGGGAAGTTGGTTTTTGCATTCCTTCCACTCATTAAGATGGCCGCTTGGTCGTATGCTCGAGCTGCTTCTTCGGCTGTTTCGAATGTCCCTAGCCACACCCTTTTCTTCCTGCAACAACAGTTACAAATTTCGACCACGAATCGTAAAACATATTAGCACAATGTCAAAAAGATATTCCTAACATTTCACTAAATAGTATCTTAATCAAACGTTAAACGATACTTACAATAAAGGATGGCGAATTTCAGACACCCAGGAACCCCAGTGTCGCTGCCTGACACCTCTAAACTTCTTCGACTGCACCATGATTAGATGAATGAAACTGAAAAGTGTACGGAAAGATGAGATTTAAAGAAGAAGAAGAGAGAATTATTGATGAATGAAAAGTACATGAGAGAGAGGTAAGGGATATATGAAGGAAGATACTCCGTCAGTGGTAAGTTAAACTGAAAAGATGGGCTGACGGCGAATTGTAAAACTGTCGTATATATCATTCGTCACCTCAAAAATAAATGACATGGGTCTTACCTAGCAGAATACTATTCAGTCACCACAGGTGCTTCTCATCCTATATATACTTTCCATGTGCTTGAAAATAATGTGAAAATTTTGACATTGATGGGACAACTTGATTATTTACTTAAGTCATCGGTTATTTTTGAGTTAGGTATGTTAAACACTATTTACTTCTTCTAATTTTGATGAATAATTTATAGTTAGTGATCTATGATAGAGTTGCATATGATTAATGGTGTCTTTCCATGGTGATAGAAAAAATCTCAAGAAGAAAAGAAAGTCATTTTATTCTTACGTGAGGTTTATATAAAACTCTTAATGTTGGTGTCAGACTTAAAATCATAATTATTATTCGTAAGTTGACATATTAAATAGATATGACTGTATGAAAAGAGAATTGACTCTCACAAATCACATGAATTTATCAAAAGTCTTGTTAAAGAAAAATAACTAACGAAAGATGTAAACTTTGAGGACTATGGTCCACAGAGGGAATTCTTTGAAGATTTCTTCTTATTCTGAAGAGTTCAATCGTTAAAAAAATTATTGTATAGTAAATCAGAAGAAGATATAATAACTTTTAACTCGCATTACTAATTAATAGAGATAAATAATGTGGTGGAAAAGATTATTAAACGAAGTAAATAACCTTGTCAGGCCTTTTTAAGGGAAGTTTACGAGTTTCACATGGAGGGACTATTGATGTAGGGCATGGAGTCCTATGAGGTGATTGGAAGATGTTAGAGCAATAAAAACATGCAATGTACTGAAAATGTAAACAGCAATGACTTGGTACTGTCTCTTTTAGGATCAGAAACTGACTGCACTCAGTCAGTACTCGGAACTCACCTAGCAATGGGGCATAATTTATGATCTTTGGACTCTATTGGTTCCAATTGGCAAGTCGTTATGTACATTTTGAACCTCACTCATCTGTCCATTCACCCTTATTATTTCCCCCCTTAATTATATAGTTTTTTTTTCTTTGGCACCCCTATTCATAGGTACGTTGAACATAAAGATATCATTAGATATAAGGTCTTTAAATCTCACGGGAAGTTATGATCTTATATCCAAATACCTTATATTAATTCACAATCGATCCCATTAGTCAGACGTATCCATTTATAAATAATAATAATGATTTTTTACGCTCGATATTAGCATTAATCGTCATTATCAGTGGCGAATTCACAACTTTAATAGGGTGAGAACATACTCACCTAAAATTCAAATTTTTTTTATTAGTTATCTATTTTATTGATGATGTTTATCTTTAAATTTTATTTGTGTCCATCCGATTTTTTAAATTATATTGTCAACGTATGTGTGTCCACCTTATAAAATATTTTTAAATCCGTTATCGATTATTATAAAATCTCTCGATCAAGAATGATATAAAAAAATTATCACCCAAATAGAGAATTTTGATATTGATCAACAAACGTTTAATTTTTGGACTTTAACTTTCCGTTCAAATAAAAATAAATAATTTATAACTATCGTAACTAGCCACAATGAAATGCTGACTAATTGTCTCGGAGCCGCTCCTTCTTTTGGGGATTGATGCCTCTTGTGGTTTTACGGATTATCGAATCAAAGAACCAGTCATGTTCTTTTAACTGTGATTACTTTTTTCTATAACCAAGTTTCTGAGATCTGTATAAGGTGAAGTGAAAGCTCTTGTTCCATGAAGATTACTCATTTAATAAGGAAGAAATGTACAGGAAACAAAAGGGTACGATTCAGAGATACTAATTACCACCATTTTTTTATTTAAAAATAATTACCACCGTTTAGCACCCACCAAAAAATAATTGTTATCTTTTGAAATTTTAAATTTAAGTAATATGTATATAAGAATATAAGTGATTATTGTTAAATCGTTAAAAATATTTAAACGAATATAATCTTATATTCACCTTAAATTTATAAAAAAAAAAAAGAAAAAGAAAAAAGAATACCACCACTTTCTATGTCCAAATAGCATGAATGCTATTCAGGATCTCCTTCAAAATTCAAAACTGAATTACAAGTGAACTTTTAAGGAGAAAATTCATTTTCGGATATTGAAGAAGATACCAATTAGAAAGTTTACCTTTTCATCTCTACTAAAAAAATAGTACATGTTTGTTAAATAATAAACTGATTTTTAAAGGTTAGGATCCATTTACATATATTGTAGAACTTTTAATTAGTTTTACATCTTTTTAAGATCATTAGATAAGTGAAAATAAACTGTTGAGATTAACTTCTTTTTTTTCTGTAAATATATTCATATTTTTTATTGTTAATCTCACGTTTATTTTCTATCAATCAACTATTTTAAAAATGTGTAAAATTAAAAAGTTTTACAACAAATAAACAGAATCTACCTTTATTTTTAATAATAAATAATATTGGATAGAACGATAAAAACAACATAAAAGGTAAAGTAATATACGTACGTAGTTTGTATGTAGTGATATACGTAAATGACATGCAACGAAAATACATACAAAATATGTATTCATCCATTAAGAGTAGTTCTAGGTTGGTTTGAATGGAAAGCGAAACCCACATGCAAGAGTGTAGTCATTGAAAGAATATCATTGGCATGGGACATGCTCGTGCTTCAGTGTTCAAAGACATTAGACTGGTAGCTAGATACCTCAACAATGTGGTCCCAAAATCAGCCCATCAATACCTTTCAACATTGTTATTATGGTACCAATCCCCAAATTAAATGCTCCTTTTCTCCTTGTGGGAACCTTTTACCAAGGTAATTCTTTTGAAAGTTGAGCGAGCGCAGACTTTTGCAAAAAAAATAAAATAAAATTGAGCTTGCAAATTAGAAGTGATGAATGGGACGTTACTGAAGAAGGAAAAAAAACCTTTTACCTAACATCTCCACAATCCTTTACATTTAACCTTTTTGTAACCATTAATGATTGAATTTTTTTTTATAATCATCGATGTCTGATCTATTAATCAAACGAATACTGCAGAGGCAAGGGTGACCCTCTCAACCCAATTTACTTCATTTGTAAATGCAAGATTCGAAGCTCTTACTTTGTTTAAAGGATCTAATGTCTTATCTCACTAAATCGATTGATTATTAATATTAACGATTGAACCCGTATAAATAGTAATTATGTCAAACTTATTATACATAAGTAATAGAAAACAGTGCCCAAATGAAATGCTCCTTTTCTCCTTCCGCCCTTGTATTTCTCAAGAATTTTTTTTAATATCAAACTGAAGGGACCATTCTGCTAAGATATGAGAATATGGATTGTATTAAATTTAACTATGGGTGCAAAAGTCTATTAGTATTAGTAATCTACCTAGGGATGGGCATGGTCGGGTTGGGTCAGGTTTTTGGTCAATCCGACCCGACCAAAACAAGATTTCACCCGACCCAATATATAACTTAAAAATCGATCAGATCCAACCCGTAATAATAAAAAATATTATTTTTATTCAATAAAAACAGTGACTTAATTGAAAAAAATAATATATAGAGGGTTATTAATGTAATTATTCCTAAATATATAATATAAAATTATAATTTTTTTGGGTCGGATCAGATATTTTTCACCCTAAACCTAACCCGAACCGAACCGGAATTTTTTTAAAAACCCCCCCAAAAAAAACTAATCAATGTTTGAGCAACGATCTCTAAATCTACCTCGTACTTTTGTGTATACCCCTTGCCACTGATCTCTCTTTATAACCATCAATGTTTCCATCCACTTTAAGTTTCATTACGAATAAAACCTATCAAGTAGTGTTAGTGGTAAAAGGAAATAAAACCTAGCAAGATGTCTGCAAGGTGTGTGTGCGTTGTCAATAAATTAAGAAAGTTCTAATTAAATCCATCACTCAAATTATCGTTGGTTTGAGCCAATGTATGAACATTACTCACAAATTTTAAGTCGTTACAACCATAACATACTTTTTTATTAGTATGGGATGAATGAAAAGTAATATTTGTTCAAAGACTCTCCACCATTTGACATTGAATGTCCATACCTATACATACATAGTGCTCAAACCGAAGACCTCAAAAAATAACAATACTTCCTTAACCATTGGGATAGCAGCCTTCGGGCCTCTTTATAATAATAAATTCTGGCTCGGCCCGGCTCACTATTCACGATCACTCAATTGGAGATTCTCAAGACTATCGAATTGAACTCGAGACAAATAACTCTAAGAGTGAAAGTTTCTCTTAACCTGAAGCTGCTGTCGGTATTGGAAACGTATTCAGTTTTTTTGATCCATTCCATAGGCGAAATCCATCATTGGCTAAACAATTATTTGGTTATGGTATTTTGGGTAACTATTAAAATCGTTTGGTTCATGCTTATCCTATATTTATATACAAGAATCACAAAAATATATCAATAGCACCCAAACATCAAGGATTGTTAGAGTTGGGTGTGCATTAAGCTTAAATTCGGCACACAAAACACCCTCTAACTCCAATTCATCAACCACCTTGGAATTTTTTTAACTCCTTGAACGTTGTCCCACTTCTCGGACTATAAACACACACACAAAATATTTGAAATTTTTAAAATGAATGTCACATATTGATATTCACTACTAATTTTATAGAGAAAAAAATATAAAGGGCTATTAAATTATATCAAAATGATCTTTTTTAAACATTAAACTTCCAAAATTTACAAAATAAGTATTAAACTTTAGATTTTATTAAAAAATTAAATTGAATCATAAAATAATTAAATTCGATTTTTAAAATTTTTAAATTAATAGAATCAAAATTTGACTGAACACGAAAATTGATTCATGAATTCAAGTTACCTCAAATAATTCCAACTAATGATCACTCATAGTCGATTTTGCTGGATGCATCCTCGCAATGTTTTAGCTTTATCATACATTTCATGGGAATGCTTGAAAAACTTTCTTTCATTTTCAGTCCCAATGAAAAGTCCGGTATTAGGAAACTTACCACACTGATTTAACATGAGGGGGGGGGGGACAAGAATGAAAACAGTACTCTGAATTGCTGCTAATTTTGTGAACTGCCAAATATAGAAAACAACATCGAAAACCGAAACCGTAGATGCGAAGTAAGAAGAGGCTCCATTTGCAGCATGAACAATGAAGATGGAGCATTATTCTGTTATTATTATACAAATACCATACACCGAGTACAGCAGCAAGGCATTAACACTTAAAACCCAAGTCTTCTGGACCTGTGTTTCAATGGGAGAAGCAAAGGAAAGGAATTGGATGAAAAGAAAAGCCTACAGATAACCATGGCTAGTAATATATTCTCAAGAGCTTTCATCTGGAAAGGAAAACCTGGAAACCAATGTGTGCGCAGCAGACAACTTCATAGCAGCACGACATGTCGAAAAAGCTTAGCTGAAGAGGAATTGCTTCCTTCGGCCTGTTAGCATGTAACTGATTTTGCATAATGTCCACTTAAAATGGATCAGTAAGTAATTGTTCTAAAGAAACTGGGATTTCTGTTAAGACCCTCCGTTGGTTTCCAGATGATACTTTCTAGCTTACTACAGAAATTCTTGTAGAACTGTCAAAAAGAAAACATTGCTATCAGTAAGGGTAAATATATATTTTGGTACCTGAACTTGACTTTAAGATGCAGTTTGCCACCTAAACCTTTTTTGTCCAATTAGGTATCTGAACTTCATTTAAGGATTTATTTGGCACCTGAAGCTTTTTGTGGTTCAATTAGGTAAATGAGCGTGACTTGTTGGTCCAAATTGGTATCCAAACTTCACTTTTTGGTCCAAATTGATACCGTAAATGACTTGTTTAAACCATGAAGCCAAAGTTCAAGTACCTAATTGGATCCAAAAAAGTTTAGGCATCACATTGAATCTTAAAGCCAAGTTCAAGTACCTAATTGGACCCAAAAAATGTTAAGATATTAAATTGCACCTTAAAATCAAGTTCAGATACTGAAATATATATTTACCCTGGGTATAGACATTACATGAAACTACAATTTACTCAGATATCAATCAAGATACAAGAACCAGCTACCAATTCAAAAAAAGGTTTTGCAAAACTACAAGGCCAAGGTTGCTATAGGTCAACAACATATAGTGTAGGCAGCTAGGAAGCAAACTAGCCACATCCATCTCGTATCATGAATCGGAAAATTACAGAGATAATACAATAAACTAAAATAAATGTGAGATAAGTTCATTCTTGATTCATAAAACAGCAGCAGAATAGGTTTGAAATAGACTTTTTAATCTCATGCAAAGAAGATTGAGGACACTGGCATAAAAGGTGAAAGCTAAAACTTGGAATCGTTCAAGACAAAAATGGCAGAAGGGAAGACAACTAAGAACAAGCAAAAGTAAATAGCCATTTACTAGAACATAATGAAAATTTAATCACTCTAGCATGCCAAAAACGGTTGAATTCCCGCTTTTGGGACCAATTTGATAGAATCAACTCACCAGACAGAGATTTAGTACATATTAGAGTACCAGGAAAATTATTAACCCACTCTAGTTTAATCTAATTTGTATTGCATGTAACCTGTAACCTAAGGTTAAGAGAAAACTAAGAGTAACACAATGATGATAAAAGTGTACAATTGGATGTCTAAAATAATGAGCAAGACACACACAACCAACCTTGTGATATTCAAGAGTATCTCCAGCAGCTTTTCGAACATCTACCATGAACAGTGACGGCGCAACTTCAAAAATCTAAATAAGATGTATAAAACTGACTTTCAAACAGAAGTCAACTTGAAATTAACCTGCCAATGTAAAAACACATTTATTACGAAATGAGATAAGAGTTTGAGGAGTCTACCTCCAGGACCACTGCAAATTGTCCCTGCTTATTTGCAGATCTTCCCTCAAGTCTTGTCTGCAGTTAGAAGGAAAGAACAGATATTACGGAAAAATATGTGATATAATATACAGTACACTTGTACACCGATGTTCTTTTGCAATATGGAACATGATGCCCGCAGCCCGGACAAACAGTAGGGTGACCCACATATATTGCTAAAAACAGAAAGTTCAAGTAACCTAGACAGTGTTGTTTCTTCATTTAACCTTTTCCATTAATACCACTATCACAAAAAGTGAACAGGTACCTAATGTCTGGCTGCAAATCTTCGGTTGCTGGTATTAGCTTAACCGAATTATTTCTGAAAGTTCCTTTGAGAAATATTCAAATTTAGAATTAGCTAGGTGCCTATCACTAAGAAGCCATGTCGGACCTTCTCTATCAGCATGTTAGCATATGCCTAACTTTCTTTTATCTTTAGAAGAAAAAAAGAAAACGATTGGAGTAAAAAGGTAAAATTGCTTCATTTTGTGGAAAAGCCTCTCTAAAGCATACTTGTAATGAACAGCCAACTGAATTTTGTAAGGAAGATATGTCATACCTTGTAATTACGTGTGTGAACCTTCAGTCCCATTGATTCAGCAACAGCTTCAACACTTGAGATTATAACTGTAGCTGGTTTGCGTGATACAAAACGAGTTTGCCGTTTTACATAATCCTACCAAAGAAAAGTAATGTCTATAGCTTGTACAATATAGCATTAAACAGTATATATATATATCTCATTCTCCAAAAGAAATTATCAGCAAACAGCATTGATATCATAAAAAAGGGAGGAGAAGATCACTCCACCCACCCACCCCTTCTCATTTCCTGAATGCTATGCAAGTTGATAGCAATTCAATATGCCTTTTTCATATTTAAAGCAAGCATGAAAAGCAACAAAAGTATAAGCTATAACCAACCAACAACCATGACAAAGTGAGAGAAATAGAATGGACAGTTCTTTGAGGTGAAGAGGAATAACACAAAAGATAAAATACAGGGAATGCTAACTTCTGAAACCAAAAAAGTAGTAACAATTTGAACAACAAACAACAAATCAACAAGGACTAAGATTCTATTCAGTAGCAGAAAATACCGACATGTACTGCTGTACCTGTTGCCTGTCAAATAATGCAGATAGATTCAAGCCTTGGGATAGCGTAATCATCTCAAATGCATTCATTATCAAGGGACCCCCCTGATTGACTAAGGGCTGCTCAGATACATATTGGTCCTGCAAAGTACCGGTAACTGCTCAGAACACAACAAAAATCCAGAGAAAAGGGTTCTCAAGGCAATCAGGATGCATTAACATGATCGACTCTAATAACAACCATTAGTGTTGACATGAAAAAAATTAAAAATATTTAAGCTAGCATCAGATCTCATAGGCTAAGAAAAGTTATAGTACAAAGAAAAAAAGAATAAATTCCGCACCTCAATATCATTAAAAACTGCAAGGACATCATCCAAATTCACTTCTTCTTCTCTAGGTTTCACAGGCACATAATGCTTGCAGAACCATGGATCTTTTTTAATTCCCTCAATTTGAATACGCTACAGTTATCCCGCAACCAGTTAGAAAATGATTTAGAAACATCAAACAAGCATCATAACAGTTACTAACTTGCATTATTCACCTTGTTACATCTAACTAATGCCCACCATCGTATTTTGAAGAATTCAGAAAATTTCAAACAGTAGAGTTCAAGAAATAAATAAGGCCAGATGTAATGAAACTTTATTCTTCAATTCTCATGCCTAAACTACCTGCGGCATTTTCTAAAACTCGGGGACTTTCATCTAAAAACAACTTGTTCTATTCATTTGACTATTTGTATGGGTAGTGTTTTGCCTGGGGTAGACATCCACAATATACAGAACATCCACAATATCCCAGAGTGGTAGACATCAAAGCTTCTTGAGCTTAGATATTACCTCGAGTAGAATGACAAAAGCAATGCACTCAGTGGTTAAAGGGTGTGTAAAAATATAAGGTATCATGGACATACGGGATAATGCAATAAATATGGCATGTTAAAGATGGCATTCGAATAAACAAAACCTAGAGCGGTAGGCATCCACCATTTCCAGAGTGGTAGACATCAAAGCTTCTTGAGCTTAGATATTGCATCGAGTAGGATAACAAAAAGAGAAAATAACCTCAGTGACCGAAAATGCCTTATAATATACGATTTTAACCAACTTTTTTTGTATTTGCCAAAATGACCAACAAATTCGCAACGCGATCTCAAATTTCGCAACCCAGGTTCCAAATTCGCAACGCGATTTTAAGATTCGCAACGCGATAGTCAAAATTCGCAACGCGATTTAAGATTCGCAACGCGATACTCCAAAATCGCAATGCATTTGTTTCTTAAGAATTTTCTCTAAAAAGATAGTACCCGCGCGGACGTGTCGAAGACACGTATTACCACGACCACGACCACGACGGGACGGGATGGACGGCGGCGGCGCGTTAGAGTCCCCCTTGTTCTCTTTCACTCAACAAGGAAGTGGGAAATCCAAGCCTTAAATACCCATTCCCAATAGTGTTTTCAATACTATGTGGGATTGAGTATTGCCAACACTTGTTTCCAATGCTAAGTTGAAACATTTAACATTTAACATTTGGAGGTTGGAACACATTTAACCAAGTGAACATCGCCAAGATAATTAAGTTGGAACACATTTAATCAATGCTTGAGAAGGCAATGTACTTGGCGAAAGTTGGGTTAAGAGAAGATAAAAGAGATGATGTGAAGCAAGAGTAAACACTTCGTCGTGTTCCCCCGACGATGTCGCCATCACACCATGTAGCCAACACAAAAGACATTTGATTAACCCCAATGTGTTGTATACATCCTGGCACGTAATAATGGAATAGGATCTTATGTTAAAAACAAATATCACTTAAATATTGCAAAACAAACCAAGTTTTCCCAACTCGATTACAAATATCACTTAATTATCTTGGCCACCGAAAGGATGTTCACTTGGTTAAATGTGTTCCAACTTCCAAATGTTAAATGTTAAATGTTTCAACTTAGCATTGGAAACAAGTGTTGGTAATACTCAATCCCACATAGTATTGAAAACACTATTGGGAATGGGTATTTAAGGCTTGGATTTCCCACTTCCTTGTTGAGTGAAAGAGAACAAGGGAGACTCTCGTGCACCGCCGTCCCGTCCCGTCGTGGTGGTGGTCGTGGTCGTGGTCGTGGTAATACGTGTCTTCGACACGTCCGCGCGGATACTATCTTTTTAGAGAAAATTCTTAAGAAACAAATGCATTGCGATTTTGGAGTATCGCGTTGCGAATCTTAAAATCGCGTTACGATTTTGGACTATCGCGTTGCGAATCTTAAAATCGCGCTGCGAATTTGGAACCTGGGTTGCGAAATTTGAATTCGCGTTGCGAATTTGTTGGTCATTTTGGAAAATCCAAAAAAAGTTGGTTAAAATCATATATTATAAGGCATTTTCGGTCACTGAGGTTATTTTCTCTAACAAAAATAATGCATTGAGCGGTTCGAGGGCGTGTAAAAATAAAAGGTATTCACGGACATACGGGATAATGCAACAAATATGTCATGTTAATAATGACATTCAAATAAATAAAAAGTTGAGCTCATCACTAAGCTAAATACACTTACGGTTTTAGGATTGGGGTCAAGGATCTTTTGTATCAATGATTTTGCCCCAGGAGAAAACCAAAATGGACAAGAAAACTGGGCAGCACTAATCTGCACATTGAGAAAAGGATAGTAGAAGTTTCACAGTTATATCAGCACTCCTACCAAATTCTCAAGGGGTAACATTAAGTTGAATTAAGGTGGTTCCTCTTAGCAAGACATATATACTAAATGGTAGGATTTTACAAGAGTGATAAACAACTACATATTTGCATTTGCAGCCCCCATTATTCTATATGAAAAGATGCAAGAATTATAGTTTCAGCACAGGATGCAAGTCTGACAAAAGAATTATAAGAACAAAATAACGTACGAAATGGGTACATAGATAACACGGCAAGCACTCATTACAATTTACAACTCAAAAGAATGGAGGAAAAACAGCTAGAGCATTGCAACGTAACTGTAGACAAATAGCTTAATAGCAGCCTGTCTACAAATGATGGGAAAATTATTTACTAATAATAAATGAGTACATTGCAAATTATTAATGTATAAAGTAACTGTGAAAAAATGATGGTAATAACCTTCTTGTACAAGGTTGGAAGGTCTATCTCATCAAATGGGAGATACCCAGCCATTATAACAAAGAGAATGACTCCACAAGACCACACATCAGCAGCCGCACCATCATAACCCTCATTGCCGAGCACCTAATGGGCAATAAGTTACCATGAGATTAAACTACATAACAGCAATTAAACATATGCATTTGAACCGTCTTTCAGCATAAATTATATAATTTGGTTCTGATTCAATGCTGACCAGCTCTCAGCAACCAAGGAAAAAGAAACTACAGATATTAGTGAATTTGTCATGATGACAAACACAAAGTCAACAACCATCAATAATAAAGATTAAATATAAAAAGGAATAAACTGAACTAATGGGAAAATACTTATCAAGAAAAACCCCGAAATTCTTAACCATCCTTGGTGTCCTATTCATCACTTTATTTCAGCAGTAACACCCTTAGGACCCTTAGCATTTCAGCCCCTTCTCCCCCTTAGCAAACATCACAAACTAATGATAAGATATTACTTTCGGAATCTTATCAGTTTCTGCAAAGTAGCAGCATTTATAATATTAAACTGATTAATATGTATTTAGTGATTGAACACTCATAGTAACTGATAAAAGCGTATGTTAATCCAACTGATAACTACCTGAAGGAGTGACATAGCAAGGACAGTGAAGTGATAGATCAGTTGTTAAGATAGCTTTATAATGTAAGAGGTCGTCTGGGGATCAAACCTAAGAACATATATTACTTGGGAAAAATGGGCTATGCTTAACTGGAGCATGACAATTTTACATTGGCAATTTGATTTGGAAAATTTTACATTATTTAGTGGCATTGGCATATAAAATCTTAATATGCAGAAAAATAATATATATAAATATATTGCAAGCAAGGTCCAGCAGTTCAAAATATAAGAGGCTATAGTAGATAACAATTAACTTTGAGCAAAGTCATGAGAAAAAAAAATCCATTGTATTTTGGAAGTCAAACACAGTGAAAAGCATAGTAGACAATAAGGCAAATTTGATGCATAATCCTTTAAGTCACTTGAAGGAAGGTACCTCTGGTGCAACATAATTTGGGGTTCCACACGTCGTGTGGAGAAGTCTGCCTCCCTGCTCATGGACATCAATGCTTAATGAGAGAGAAAAATATTTACATGTTAAGACTTTTCTGTATGGAACACAGATATTAGTCAATATGCTTACTTGCTGGGGTAATGCACTCAGTCCGAAGTCAGAAACCTTCAAATTTCCAGAAGAGTCGAGAAGAAGATTTTCAGGCTACAAAATATGAAGGAAAAGAAAAAGTTGGTCAGGATTATCATGAAACATTGATTTCCAGAGATATTTGATTTCAAAATATTGCACCTTTAGGTCTCTGTGATAAACACCCTTACTGTGACAATGAGCAACAGCATCAATAAGCTGTTGAAAGTATAGCCTACATTCATTCTCAGAAAGTCTTACACAGTGAACCTACACATAGGAGTAAAGAGGAGATAAATGTTTCCCGGGTGGAAACCAACAACAAATGAAGGAAAATCTCCATGAGGAAGGAGATGTCTTACAATTTTATCAAAGAGCTCTCCTCCACTAACAAACTCAAGAATAATATATATCTTTGTCTTACTTGCCAATACCTACATTTTTTAAAAAAAAGGACAAGGTAAATATCAACAATGTAAGCAAGAACATAAAAGTATGATGTACATTAATTAAATATACTCATACCTCATGCAACCTAACTATGTAAGGATGTTTAACAATCTTCATTACGGATATCTCTCTTTTAATCTGAAACCAATCGGAAAAAACAAATTAAAACCCAAAAAGGGTTAGCCAACTAAATGGCATAGAGGAAGAGATTCTTCTGGTAGGCAAAATGCTTCTCCATTTTCTAGAAGATCTCAAATATTACGCAGCTAAACATTTAAAATCCATAGGATTAGGTTTGAGTTACCAGGGAAGCATGAACTAAAATACACAAATATCCTCCCGGGTGGGCTACAGGGAGGTGTCTCTAGTTCCAAACAATAGCAGCATATGAATGATACTTCTTTGAATTCATATTATACTAACATATTTTAATAGGGAAAGAACAATCTCCACTTCCCAGACACCTTTGGTTACTTAATTTCAGAAAAGTGATATGATCTATTTTTTGTGCTTAAAAGGATCAAAAGCCAAGAGAAAAGCTTATAAAGGACTTTTCTTCTGAAGCAGTACCCTCCTAATCCAGAGAATTTCACGTATTCTTCATTACAGCATGTCCAACAGCCTACTCTTACCAGCCATAATTCACGCATAAAACGTAAAACAACCCAAATTGCTTTCAAACCAAACTATGAAAGGTGCGAGCCAATTTGGTTATTAGCAGTGATCACAGTAACTTTTGACGAATTAAAAATGATAAAGCCAAAGGATTTTATGGTGCTTCTTGATAGAATTAAATAATTACCTGAACAACCATCCCGTGCTTGAGAATGGTGGGTTTCGCCAAAACTTTAATGGCCACGCTCTCTCCGGTGTCAGTATTCTTTGCAAACTTAACTTTGGCGAATGTTCCTTGGCCAATTGTTCGCCCAATCTCATACTTCCCCAGTTTCTTAGTTCCTTTCTTCATTATTCTTCAACGATCATTATAAACCAAATAATTAACACCTGAAGCCCAACAGGTTATCGAAATTAAAGAATTTTACAGTTCCTGCTGCGTTGACTACTCCATGCTAATAGAGACTAATAAGATGATGTAAAAATATAAATTAAAAAGTAGGGCAATCTTTGTCTAGCTGCTGAGAAATTAGAAAGAAAACGAGGGAAAAACACATTAAAAAAAGACCTGTTCCGGCTAAAATCTTACCTCCAAGAAGACTAGTAAAATTTAACTCAAAATTTTCTGTGTTGAATGAGAAAAAACGATTGTCCGAGCTTCGTCGAGGGATTGGCCTGATCTGCGACTGTAATTTGATCGATGATCAATGCAAGCAACGACAGAGCTGGAATTTCTGTTCTCATTTCTTTCTTTCTGTTCTTGTCATTTTATACGAGTTTTTCTTAATAATTTATTTAATATTTGATAGGGCGGTGTCACTTTGATTTCAGGTAGGGTGTATTCTGTTCGGTTTGATTTGGTTTTTTATCAAAAATTGAATTGAACTGAAATAAACGGGTTTTTAATATTTAAATCGAAACCGAAATTGAATAGTTAAAAACTGAAAAAATTGAAATTGATTTTTTCGATTCGGTTCGATTTTTTTAACGGTTTGGGTTTTTCGATTCGGTTCGGTTTATCGGTTTTTCAATAAAAAATCACTTGAAACTATAATTGTTTTTACAAATATTGCCTATTCGGTTCAATATGGAACAAATGGGTTTCATATGGAAAACCCGAACCGAACCGAATCAAAAAAATGAAGCCTTTAAACCGAACCGAAAACCGAACCGTTTAAAGCCAAACCGAACCGAATCGAATCGTTTTACTCGATTCGTGTTGGTTTTTCGATTTTCTCGATTTCGTTGCTCAGCCCTAATTTCAGGTGTATATTTTATTGGGTGACGTCAATTTAATTTAAAGTTAATAAAATATAATATAAATTAAGTATTTATCTATTTTTATAATTTTATTTTAATTATTTAATTAATATTTTTAAAAATTATATATAACATTATATTTTAATTTAAAATATATCAAAATATATTAAAATTTTATTATAATAGCATTTAATTATTTAATATTGATTTAAGATCGGTAAAATTTATAAGGCCAATATCAATACAATAATAGCCACCTAAATCCTATCTTTTTAATAAAAAAAATAAGATAGTAAATTTAATTTTATTAAAAAAAATAATTTTGACCTATTTTTTAAAAAATTTAAATTTTCATGTAATTTAATTCTTTTATTTTATATTATTTTTTTTCGAGGAATATGTTTTTTAATATTTTTTAAATAGTATAGGTGATTACAATATAGTATATGTTTAGAATTTTTCTTAGTTATTGACAATACATATATACCCTACATATGAAGCTACTTAAATACAGAACCTTAAGAGAGAACAACGTCCTCTTGAACTATTAAAATCACACGATGCGTTAAATCTAAATTTAATATTTAAAATGAAGTTTTTTATAAAATTATTTGGTTGTGAATGAAATGGATTTGTATTTGAGACAAAAGTTGAGTACATTTTTTCTTTGAAGATAATAGATTATTAAGTTGTATTTTTTTTATAAAAATTGAAACAGTTTATTCATTGAGAATTAAGTTGTTTTTTGTGAAATTAGATATATTACAAGCGCAAGTGGGTGGAACTTGCAAATATTAAATGGAAGTCAACATATAGATGAGATTTGTAAACATTCACATAATTACTCTTATGATAATCTACATATCCCCATACAAGTGGGTGAAATTATAAATATATTACTCGATTAAAATATTATTTTAAACAGTTATTTCATCGTTAAATATTAGATAGAATAATTATGTGACCTGATATGATAATTATTTTAGTTCTTAAAACTTGTATAATTTATCAATTTATTCCTAATATGAAACAAGTCAATAAATTTAACATTCATATTTATAATTCCATCATTCTAGTCTTTGTTATTTTTCTATATTACTTGTTATTCTTCTATATTATTATCTCATTTTTTAACAATAACTTGTTGTTTTTTATAAAATATAATTATTCAACTTCTTTTTTTATTGATGAAAATTAAATATTTATAATTGAAATAAAAGTTAAAATTAATAGTTTAGAATGCAAATTATCCACACACACACAAAAGACCGAGACCACTGAAAATTGTATATTATTACTAATATTCATTTTGAAATTAAATTTTATTTTAATTGCTTTTAGGAGGCAGGATTTCTTTAATTGTTCTTCAATTTATTGCATATATTTTTAAAATAAAATTCAAAATATTTTCATTTTTTATAATGTTTGGGCATAGATAGAGATGGACCAAGGAGGGAGGGAGGGAGGGAGGGAGGGAGAGGGAGACGGTCGTCCCCTTGAAAATTTAAAAGGATCATATATTCTAAATTTTTTTTACGTATTTTCTACTAAAATCTATTTTCATTTCCCTAAAATTTTATAAATTTTGCCCCCTCTTAAAATTTTAAAAATTTACTCATTTAACCTAAAATATTGTGTCCTTCCTGAGAATAAATTTACATATAAAACAAGCTTTTCTTTTGGATGTTAGCCAAGAAAGTGTTAAAGAAGGAAAAGAGGTTTTACTTTTGGTTTATTAAATTTTAAGGGTAAAATAAAAATTTTCACAAAACAATACATTGTTCAATATCTATACTAAACAAAGGGATAGGTAGGTTTCCTGAAAATGAAAAAGGAAACTAGTCTACTTGTTTTTTCAAGGGAGAGGAGGGTCCTATAAATTCATATCATCCCATTTATTTTTCCTTTGTCTTTTCCTTTGACTTTGTTGATTTCAAAACTGGAATTAGAACTAACCTATAATATATCTTTTGACAAAAATATATTAGTAGTCTTTCTGATTATTTTTCGTTAAAAATTTAGTGACAAATAATGTGATAGTTAATAAAATTGGTATGATACTAATAAATTTATTCATCGTTTTTCATTTCATTTTAATCCGATCTTAATTCTAAAAAAATAACATTCAACAATCTATTATTCCACCAATCTATTATTCAACTAATTTAGATCAAATTTTGCATAGGCGTATTATGAAAGCGACACGCTCAACCCAGTTTGTTCCATTCACAATAGCATGTATCTTTTTCCTCTTACTTTGATCTCATGAAAAATATTTTTTTTAAACTTCGATGATATCGAGTGTCGATCGTATCTTATCGACCTTTTTCCTTATTCCTTCCAACCATACATATTTGTCACATATAGTTTAGAAATAAAATTAAAAATATTCTCAATCTTTTTATAATGTTCGAATAAAATTATTTTGATTTTGGATTAGTAAAATAGATTTTTACAAAACAATACATCAAAATTAATATTTCATCATTTATACTAAGCAAAGGGATAGTTACACCACAAGCTTCCTAAAGTAGTGCTGGAAAATGAAAAAGGAAAGTGATCTGACTTGTTTTTTCAAGGGATAGGAAGGTCCTACAAATTCATATCATCCCATTTTTTCTTTTTCCTTCTTTTTGGTTGTCTTTTACTCAACTTTGTTAATTTCAAAACTAGTGTTAGAACCAACATATAACTTTCGGCAAAATATGAAAAAGTCCTCTAATTATAAGATATTTTTTATTGTACTTCAAGCTATGAAAAATTATAAAATAATCATCTAATTTATAAAGTAATAAATTAGTCTTTTTTTAATTTGACATTTAACAAAATTAATAGGGTTAATGCAAAATGAGTGTCCAAACTATAATCTAAGTTAACTTTAGGTGCTTAAACTTTTTTCGCTCAAAGTAAGTGTCTAATGTTTTCAACGTTACAATTTTAAGTGTCTACGCCGTAATGGCGGTTAAAAAACCTTTAACTGACACGTTTCATATTTATAGTTTTTTTTTGAATTTTTTTTAAAAAAATTAAAAAATATTATTATTTTTTAAAAATCCAAACTTCTTTAAAATTACAAAAAAAAAACCCAAATTCTTAAAATCTTAAAACCCCTTAGTGAAACTCCTAGGGAGGAAACATGAAGTTGTGGACGCTTCATGAGAGACATGAGTCTATGTAATTTCAATATCCACACTTGTTTGATATGTAAAATGTATAATAGAATAGAAATGTACTATTGAAATTATAAGTTCAACGTTCGGATATTTTTATTCGTATATTAATCGATTTAGTTCATGATCGAGGAGCATCGTCACATGTTATGAATTTCTTTTAACTCGGTTTGAAATCAAAGGATTATTTCGGGATTTTAGATATTTCAAAATTTCTTATAAGTCGCTCCGTGATTTAATGTAGCAACCGGAACCTTTAGATATCTTCGAGTCGGGTCTTGGGTGTTACAAATAACACATTTGTAGAGTGTAGATTTCCGAAGTTTGCTACACTAGTTTTGGCATGTCATTTTGAGTTACCTACGGCTTTCACTGCATCCAATCCTTCTCCATCCCTGTCCAGTATCTAATGGTAGATAGATTTAGCTGCTTCCGATGTATTGGTCAGGCCTAAGAGTTTACAGTGATAGATGTAACACTGTGGCATCTAATACTGCAAATGGATGTAATATGCAGCGTTAAGTATCAAGTGCAAACCATTGTGTAATCTCAATGGTAAAAGGAAACATTATTCTTCAAGGATCCAAATTTAAGCAATTGTGTCTGTAGTATGTGTTTACGTTATCAATATACTTAAAAATTTCTGAATAAATATTTTCTTGTAATCACTATACAATCCATACTATTTGTAAACGCAATAATGATTCCATCACAAATTTGTGTTGCTTATTGAGATTGAGAAATCTTACAAAAAAACAACCGAAGCTCAAATATATTGAGTAAAGTTATTACAACTCTTATGAAAGAAATAGTTTGGTAATCTCAATTTTTGGACAAGATGAATTGTCGGTACTATTTTGTTCTGGTAAAAACTCTGATGGATGACAGACAAAACATTTAAATGTGAATTTCAGTAGAAGCTAAGAAGAACAAAATGAAGATTTCATCATTCTTTTCTTCACAGTCCTTTAAGTTGTCCAGTAAGTCCTGTCAAGGTTGTCCATTTCTCAAATGCAGCTGCAGATTCCACAAATGCTACTTTGGATGATTCAACATCATTTTTTGTAACTACAGAGAGTACAATGCAAAGCCATTATCAGCCATTCACACAACAGATTAGTTTTAAATTGTACTGCTACTGTCTGCTATTGTCACCTGGACTATGCAACCATGCATTTCTTCGATCTCGATGCTTGAATATCGATGTTTTTTTACATGAAAGACTGACATACCTGATGATATCAATGAAGCTAAAGAAGAATTGAACGTCTCCACCTGCGTCTTCTCTCCAGTACTAGAGCTCAGCTGTTAAGAAAAAGTAAAGAAAACCAGTCATGACATCTTTAGAACATGAGGCATCTTCAAGAAAACCGGAACTGTCGATGTCGGATACTAATATTTTCTATAATATGGCTGATAAATTAAGTATGCAAACATTGTCAATGACCTTGTTGAAGGCTAGATTGGCATTCTTGACCCACTCTGTATCAGTGCTTCCCCCAAGAACTGAACTAGCTGCAGATAGATCATTGTTGTCAATGGCTTGTCCAATTTGGCTCAACTTATAGACAAGATCCTGCAAATACCCTGAAACATTCCAATTTCATTGCAGCAATGTCAGCAAACACCAAAGACAATAACATTTTCTGTTGAACTTAAGCAAACACATACAAGGTTTCAAAGAACTTGAATCAAACACAAAGGAAACGCAAAAAAAACAACCTTTCTCTTTGCCTGATGAACTGATTACTCCTTGTTTTTCAAGCCTATTCTTTCTATCCTTCTTGACTTTCTCCAAAAGCTCTACATCATCATCGGCCTCTAGAATTGCTGCAATGGCATTGGAGCAACCATTACCGGCAGCCAACACCAAGCCGGTGATGAAGCAAAGGGAGAAGCTTCTTTTAGTTAAAGCTGGAGTGGGGAGTGGAGATTCATTGACTGCTTTGCAAAGAGTACTTCTTTGGACATTTTGATTGTTGAGATGAACTAATGCAGGCCCTAATGATGATGATAATGATGATGAATATGTTGAAGGGGGAAGAGATGAGAGGAAGAAGGAATTAGCAGTTGAAAGAAATGAAGTTGCCATTTTTTTCCTGGAAAATTTGGTGGGAAAAACTAGAGGTATTGGCATTATCAGAAGATAAGGTTGGTGGATTCTGTTTGTTATCTGGGCCATTCATTTTTCAAATCCTTTCTCTCTCTCATTCCATCAATGTACTATAGTAACCAAAATAAAACCAATTAAATTATTATTTAAAATCATTACTAATTAAATATATTATAATTAATTAATTATATTAAAATCTATATTACTTGCAAATAAGGCTTGTGTAATCTTATTAAAAGCGAATGTTTTGTTTGGTTGACAAAAATAAAATAAAATTATGAGAAAATCGCCTCAGTGACCAAAAATGCCTTATAATATACGATTTTAACCAACTTTTTTTGGATTTGCGAAAATGACCAACAAAATCGCAACGCGAAATAAAAATCGCAACGCGATTTAGAAAATCGCAACGTTGAAAAGAAAATCGCAACGGTCAAAAGAAAATCGCAACGCGATATTCCAAGAATCGCAATGCGATTAAGAGAATCGCAACGCGATCTTCCAAGAATCGCAACGCGATTCAGAAAATCGCAACGCGATTCCAAGAATCGCAACGCGATTCCAAGAATCGCAACGCGATTCCAAGAATCGCAACGCGATTCAGAAAATGAGTAAATTCTTTCAAAAGCTATTGTATTTGTTTCTTTCTTAAGAATTTTCTCTAAAAAGATAGTATCCGCGCGGACGTGTCGAAGACACGTATTACCACGACCACGACCACGACCACGACCACGACCCGAGACGAGACGAGACGGCGGCGGCGGCGCGCGAGAGTCCCCCTTGTTCTCTTTCACTCAACAAGGAAATGGGAAATCCAAGCCTTAAATACTCTTCCCAATAGTGTTTCCAATACTATGTGGGATTGAGCATTACTCAACACTTCAAAGAAAATATAGCAATTTTTGTAGCATGTTTCCCGCTTAATCCATATTTAAAAATATTAAAACATTTTATCATATTAAAACTATATGTACAAGTTTGAATTGAAATGTAGATATCTACAACTCTTTTAATTCTCTTGATAAAATGTTTTAATATTTTTAGATATGGATTAAGCGGGAAAATACTACAAAAATTGCTATATTTTCTTTGAAGTGTTGAGTAATGCTCAATCCCACATAGTATTGGAAACACTATTGGGAAGTGTATTTAAGGCTTGGATTTCCCATTTCCTTGTTGAGTGAAAGAGAACAAGGGGGACTCTCGCGCGCCGCCGCCGCCGTCTCGTCTCGTCTCGGGTCGTGGTCGTGGTCGTGGTCGTGGTCGTGGTAATACGTGTCTTCGACACGTCCGCGCGGATACTATCTTTTTAGAGAAAATTCTTAAGAAAGAAACAAATACAATAGCTTTTGAAAGAATTTACTCATTTTCTTAATCGCGTTGCGATTCTTGGAATCGCGTTGCGATTTTCTTAATCGCGTTGCGATTTTCTGAATCGCGTTGCGATTCTTGGAATCGCGTTGCGATTTTCTTAATCGCGTTGCGATTCTTGGAAGATCGCGTTGCGATTCTCTTAATCGCATTGCGATTCTTGGAATATCGCGTTGCGATTTTCTTTTGACCGTTGCGATTTTCTTTTCAACGTTGCGATTTTCTAAATCGCGTTGCGATTTTTATTTCGCGTTGCGATTTTGTTGGTCATTTTCGCAAATCCAAAAAAAGTTGGTTAAAATCGTATATTATAACTTTTTTTTGGTCACTGAGGCGATTTTCTCTAAAATTATTAGGCTTCTAGCTTTTTTCATAATATTTTATTTCATAAAAATTAGGCTGTTAAGCTGGTAGTTCCACGTATTCGTTGTAAAAGAAACAAAACAAAGTACCAAGAATTCCAAATTGTCATCTCTGATATCTCTAATCATAGTCGTATCTGATATTTTCGGGACCTAAGTGAAATTAAAAAATAAACTCTTATAGAATAAAAGTATATTTTATTCATTTTAAACAATTATTTTAATATTATATTAATAAATAGTAGAAATGATTAAATTAGGAGTTTTAGTTATAAAAATAAAAAAATGAGATTGAAAAAATTAGGGACTTCAATTATAAAGATAAAAAGTAAACTAAAAAAGGGTAAACTACGTAAATGGTCATGATGTTTGCGTAAGTTTTCATTTTCACCACTGATGTTTCAAAATTTACAAATCGATCACTAATGTTATCGTTTGTTACAAATTGGTCACTCGTCGTTAACTGCCGTTAACGAGAGTGACGGAATACACAGATGGACTGTTTAAAGCTTATTATGATTGGGTTGACCGCCGTATGGAGTGTCAAATGTTAAAGTCATAGCTTGGGTTGTTGTTTCATCTTCTTTCAATATGATTTAGTAAATATTGGTTCTTCTTTGTTTCTGCTACATAAAAAGAATGGAAGCAAGGAAGACGGGGATGGAGAAAATAAGGAAAAGAGATCCTCAACCATTGTTCTCAAGTTTAATTGCTTTTGTGAAGGTTGAGTAGCCAAAATCTTCACACACACTTAAGATTTTGAAGGTACAATCAACATGTATGTGTAAGATTCCCATTTTCTTTTGAGTTTTCCTTATTTCTTCGTCTTTATTTCTTCATTATGTTTTTGTCAACTCCATGAAAGTTGATGTCTCGTTGAGTTTTCATTGATGATGATGACTGTGAATCCTACTACCATGAAAGAGAAGCTCGAAAAGAAAACTATGATTTGTTAACTCTATAGTGTAGAAAAAATAAAGAAGAAACAATGGACTTTTAGATGACAGAACTTTATGCTTTTATTCAATGCTTAGAATGGAACAAACATAGGCCTTATATAGGCTTGACAGCACAACAAACTGACAGAAAAAAAAGGAACCACTACTGCACGTAAATAACAATAAAATCAGAAAAATAAGGAACCACAACAATCAATACTAAAAATAGGATGACTTTGAATCACTCTCCAACACTCCCCCTTGATTCAAAGTTGCAAACGCCAAGTTGTTGTATAAAGTAAGCATGTTTATCTTTAGGGAGAGACTTCGTTAGTATATCTGCCATTTGCTCATTTGTAATGCAATATTTCAGAATAATTGATCCATCAGAAACAAGATCACGAATGAAGTGTGCCCGAAAATCTATATGCTTTGTTCTTTCATGAAATGATGGATTTTTTGACATGGAAATCATTGCTTGATTGTCACAGTAGATCACAATTGCTTCCTTTTACTTTAAACTGATATCATCTAGGATCCTTCTTAACCATAGAGCTTGACAAGCTGATGAAGTTGTAGCTGTATATTCAGCTTCCGATGAAGACAGAGCTGTTGTAGCTTATTTTTTAGAACTCCAACAAACATGACATGATCCAAAGCCGAAGACATAACCTGACGTGCTTCTTCTATCCTCCAAACATCCAGCCCAATCACTATCTGTATAACCACTCAAATTGAACTTTGAAATATTATCATACCATAGCCCAAAATCAAGAGTTTCAGCAATATACCGTAAGACTCTTTTTGCAATGACAAAATGATGCCTTGATGGACAGTGCATGAACCTTGAAATAACTCCAAGAGCAAAAGAAATGCCCGGCCGCGTATTAGTCAAGTAAATCAAGCCCCCAACTAGACTTCTAAAGCTCATTGCATCTGTTGCTTCAGTACCATCATCATTCTTCAACTTTTCATTCAAATTCATAGGTGTTACTACAATTTTGCACCCCATCATATTTAATTTTTTAAGTAAATCAACAACATATTTCTTTTGCGACACAAATATTCCATGTTCAACCTGCTTTACCTCAAGTCCAAGGAAAAATTGCAATGATCCAAGATTCGTCATTTCAAATTCCTTTTTCATACAAGCTTTGAATTCATTTATTAGGCTTGAGGAACCCATGTAAATCATGTCATCAATATAAAGGCAAATAATTAGAAAATCATTGGTACTTTGCTGTTTGAAAGAAAGATTGGGCTCATACTTGTTTCTTTCAAAACCATTTTTAAGAAAGTATGCATCGATTTTACTGTACCATACGTGCGGAGCTTGCTTCAGCCCATAGAGAGCTCTTCGTAGCTTGTACACTTTTTCTTCTTTGCCTTCGATCGTGAATCCGTCAGGTTGAGCAGCATAGACCTCCTCTTGTAAATCACCATTTAGAAAAGCCGACTTAACATCGAACTGATACACTATCTTTTTTAAATGTGCAGCCAATGCCAAAATAATCCTGATGGTTTCAAACCATGCAACCGGAGAGAAAGCATCATCAAAATCTACACCTGGTTGTTGTGAATATCCTTTCGCCACTAGACGTGCTTTGTTCTTTTGAATGTTTCCATCTGCGTTGAACTTGGTTCTAAAGACCCATTTAACACTAATGACTCTTCTGTCTTTAGGAAAATCTACAAGCTCCCATATCTCATTACGTTGTATTCCTGTAATTTCTTCTTTCATTGCAATTCGCCATTCCTCTTTGTCTGCTGCTTCTTCAAAAGTTGTAGGATCAGCAACAAACAAGGCCTGCGTAGACGCATAAATCTCCGTCAAAGTTTTGAATTTCTTTTGAGGGGTCTCATCATCAGAGGAAATGCTACCAATCGAAGATACACTTGACGAAGTTGGAGGAGACGACAGATTTAGAGAAGGGGGTTGTAACACTTCGATCTGTGGAGCTGTTTCTTTACTTGCAATTTCAAACTTGACATCACCTGCATTTTCTTCCCAAGACCAGCTTGCATCCTCATTGAAAATCACATTTCTACTGATTATTATTTTGCCATCAATAGGACTATACAACCTGTAAGCTTTGGACTCAGAACAATAACCAACAAAAATGCATTTTGTTGATTTTTCATCAAGTTTGCTGCGTTTATGTGAGTCAACTAAAGTATAAGCAACACAACCAAAAACCATTAAGTGGCTTACCCAAGGTCTTTTTCCGTACTAAGCCTCATATGGAGTTTGATTTAGATTGTCGGTGATAAATTCAACAAGTAGACTGCAGTTGCAACAACTTCTGCCCATAATTGATTTGGAAGTCCTT